AAACACAGATCGAGGAAAGAATCTAAAGAGACGAAGACAAAAACTGGAAAAACAAAGAGCAGAACGGGCTCTTCGGGTAGTGATAAAGACGAAAAACACGTTTTGCATGAAAGTCCCATTGAAAGGCCTCGAGAGAAGACGCCAACCCTAGAACGGCATTCTCGAGGACTTCCGCTTCCGCCGGGGCCTTCAGTGCCTCCACTTCCGGTTGTTCCCATTCCCCAAAGACATTTTTCTGCTCCCGATGAGGTGGAAGATGATAACAACTATGAGACTGTTGAAGTGCGTAAGACAAAGTCCATGGAGAGAGTGAAGGGCCATCCACCGTCTCCATCCGACGATGCATATGACACTGTCCAGGTTAAAGTCGGAAAACCTCGGGCTCTTTCGCTTGATCACGACATGGGCGAAGACAGCGGGAATTACGAAGTTGTTGCTTTTAATAAGAGCGAGATTGATTATTTGTATGCTGAAGTGCAGCAATCCAAAAATAAGGAGACTACGAATGAGAAAAACGTGGAAGACACGGTTGCTGAGGAAACTGAGGAAGATCCAGAAGATCCTTACTCGAGAATTAAGAACTTGAAACTGAAGGAAGAGGCAGCAGAAATGTCAGAGGCCCTCGAAGATGCGGAAGATCCTTATTCCAGCATAAAAAATGACATGCAAGAGGATGATTTGGAAGTCTCTAACCTGTATGAAGATGTCGAGAAACAAAAAGAAAATCGAGTTGATAAAAATCACAAATACGCATCCGTTGACAAAAGAGAAGTATTCCAGTTAATGATAGACACCGAAAACAGCGCAGATTCTGAAAGGAACAGATCAAAGAGTGATACAACGGGACTGAAACGATGTAGGAATGAGAAAGACAAACGCGCCAATTCTGTTCATGTGGTGCGGTCAAGAACAGGCGAGGCTGTGGCAAAAGGCGAGGTTACACAAGCAAACAAGGCTACCACTTTGCCAAGAGACGATACTTACGCAAAAGTGGACTTGAGCAGGAAGACAAGGCGTCGTAATGATACAGAAAGTAGCGGAGATACTGAGGAGGAGAGACATGACACGGAAGATCCCCCACCCCTACCCCCTGCGTACGTGTCGTCAAGACAAATGAAGATTGAAATGGGAAGAATTCCAGGTAAAGAAGACGAAATCTTAGTTCGTCAAATGTTTCATTCACGGGCTGTGGCAGACAGACAGACAGAGAGACTGAAATACAAACACTGGCGGACAGACTGACTAACTGACAGACTGAATGACTGACTCATATTTACTGACTGACTGACTGACATACTAACTGACTGACTGACTTGATGTATGACTGACTGACTGACATACTGACTTACTGACAGAGACTATAAGACAGACTCACTGACCGACAGACAGACCATCAGACGGGCGATAAATCATGTAATGACTTGAGAAACGGCGTGCAAGATGTGTTTTTGAGTATTCAGCCATTGTCAAAGATGAAATGATTATTATGGTATTTTCTATACTTTCTTTTTGCAGATAACACTGATAACCTTTACGATGAAGTCGCTACAGCTGGCCAGAGAGACCGCACTCCTAGTACAGAGTTGCTTATACCTCAAGACGATTCTAACCGATTGTCATCCGCGTCAGGCGACTACGAACCTGTTGAAACCATTTTAAAACCAGTTATTCCGATAACCAAAACCTCGGCGAGCGACGATTATGCGGAAATTCCAGAACCAGTTCACAAGTCAAATGCGTCCGGTAGCGGTAGCGCGGGACCTGTGCATTTGGAGGTCTGTAATGCGCCAGCGAACATCTCAGTCACGGTGACAAGTTCAACGAAAGCATGCGCAAATGACGATAACGTCGAAGAAACTCATTACGAATTAGTTGCTCCTCGAGATAGGAAACGTTTGGAGTCAAGTACATCAAATGGTGTAAGGCTATGATTGAAAGTAAGAGATCTACGAGTGAATTTTCCTTAGTTTCGCCAGCGTACAAAGAGGATATGGTTTTACATTCCAACAACCTTCCCCAGTCGACCAGTTCCTCAATTCTCATAACTGATATGTTTGACATTACACAAACATTGTATGGAGAATGTACATGCTGATGTCTCCTTAGGCTAAAGCGTTTAGCAAAACTGTGTTTGTAGAAAGAAGATGAACCTTTTAAGATATTAACACGATTAGCCAGTGTCCAAAGATAATTTTTACTTCTTATAGGCTTATCCTTGGAAATCGTCCTTTTTTTAATCTCAGAAGTAGGGTATATTTATTTAAAAGTTTGCATGCGTGACGCGTGGATAAACGATTTACAGTATTTTGAGTGAAAGAGAAAAACTTGAAAGCGAAACCTGTCACTCTTGAAATGACGTGTAGTCTTACCCATTCCAAACTACTCCAATTTGCCATGCGCACACTTAACCTGCCCGGAAGGAGAAGCACAACTCACTTTGTTAGACGGCACTATCTAGAGGAATATTTAAACTAGCAGATTTTTTTTTATTTTTCGCATAAATCAATAGTTAAACGAAGTTCGAACGCACCCCACTATTGAATGGACACCTCACTTAGGCGGGCAAGAGGTCATGTAAACCCCCAAACTTTGGAAATCTCATAACTGAGAAATGCTTCTTATTAACAAAGATAAAGGTCTTTCGGGTATGTGATTGTGGAAGTTTCCTTTGCATCAGATATTCCGTAGCCTTTTTCGCACTTACGGTCTAAGTTAAGGCTAAGTGTTGCAGTATTTTAGTGTTCAGATGAACCCGTAAATATAGTTTATTAACAGCAATATTATGTACTTTTTTTAACCATCAGACTATTGAATAGCAATTGTAGTGTTATTTTATATCAGTTTATTCGTACATTAATTTCAAGAAATATAAAATTTTAGTGTTGTTTACAAATATAGGAATCCTCTGTTGAAGGGATCTTTTTTCATTCTCTTTAGAAATATCAGTAAAGCATGCATTTGTTCCCAGTCTCTTTCTTCTCTGCAAGCCAAGCAGCTATTTTTGCGCTGTACTGGAGATGGAGAACCCCACCTTCCTTTGATTCTTAGAGAAGATGTGCGTCCAAAATTAATTTCTCGGCTATCCTTCATTTTATGCGTTCAACTAGCTTTGAACAGTTATTTTTGGCATACAAGATGACGATGATGACGATGGTTATCAGGAGGAAGACGATAGGGACGATATCAATGACTATGGAGTCGATAACGATGACGAGGACGACAATGACGGTGAAGATTATGTAAACGATGATGATGACGGAAACGAGACGATCCGATAACGATGACGATGGCGATGACGATGGCCATGACGATGACGATGGCGATAACGATGACGATGGTCATGAAGATGACGATGGCCATGACGATGACAATGGCGATAACGATGACGATGGCTATAACGTTGACGATGGCCATGATGATGACCATGACGATGGCAATAACGCTGACGATGACGATGGCGATGACGATGACTATCACTTTGATTATGATTATAATAATGATGAATGTATCGAATGGACAAAAAACACTTATTGAACAATCAAAAGGGAAAAAAAGGATATTAAATGGCGCTGTCGTGCTAAAAAATTATATACCTGAGTATCCCTGGCTTCGAAACTTACAAGTTTAGAGATCTTAGAATGAGTGGCAAGCGCATTAACAACAGTGACGGCGACGATGACGATGAAAATGACTACGACTTTGATGATGACGTGGGTTATGATGACGGTGACGGTGACAATGATGATGAACGTATCGAATGGGCAGACAACATCTATTAACGCTTTAACTCCCAAGATCTCATTAGAAATTCTCTTTACTGTCGGTCATATAGTTCTTGAGATGTTAGTTTGGAGAATTTGGTATTGGATCAACTATTTATCCCCTGATTAAGATTTTTCTTTATTCTCATCACTTTTTTTGCATGATATTGTATTGATAATGTAAGGAAAAATTCTGTCTTGGTCATTCATGGGAGTTAAAGGCTAAACAATCAAACGGGGAAAAAAGTAAGTGGCGGTCTCGTGTTGGAAGCAATTCGCTTATGTGTCCTTGGCTTGGAAACTCTAAAGTGGCGCGGAAGATAGACGCGGGAGAAGAACGCGTGAAGTAACCATCTTGGCTGATAGTGTTGTGAAATTTATAAAGATCTGGGCGGTGGAGCTAAGCTGCAGAAAAAGAGAGACGAAGGTCCGCAATCTCATCTCCCAGAGGTCACACGCCGCTAATCCCTTGCAGTTAGGATGGCCAATGGTTAGAATTTGAATCTCATTTGCAAAATGAAAAAAGATGCAGTTTGACAGAAGATAGGCCACGTAAAAAAAATGGTAAAGCAGAAAGATTGCGTGACAGTGGTGTGATTTCGTGACAAAGACGTTGCTTCTGTCGTTCGCGGGGGGTGTTTCGCTTTGAGCTTACCCTCCGCTCTTCGACCAACAAGCTCCAAAATGATAACACTTAAAATGGATGATCGTTTCCTTGCTGCTTATCTCTTTTATGGCGCCATGGTTATGCTGAAGACGTGGGTAATGTCTTTTTTGACCTCGAGGCATCGCATTGGCAATAAGGTGAGATTATGCATGAAACTTGAGGGACTATCGATAACCCACTCGAAAAGGTGCCAATAACTGAACACTTAATTAAATATCCAACGCTGGTTTGAAAAAAAACTGTGCTTTCCAAGCCAAGGATTTTTCTGATTAGACGGTAAGGGTTAGAAACCTTTTCCAGTTGAGTGCGTGTAGGATTTTATTTCGGATTTAAACAGTTTTTAACATGGTGTAATCACTGTAATGATTGTACGCATCATGACAATGATGGCATGCAGTTGCAAGCACGAGGCTTATTGTAGATATCTTAATTAAAAAAAAAAATGACTCGAAACAAACCGATTCCATCAGAACAACACTCCCAAATTTACAACAGAAAATTTTGCCGAGTCATCAAGTACCCCGCAAGCTTTGAACCAACTCCTTGTTACCAGGTCCCACGTGCGACCTTGCATGACAAACCACAGACAAAAACAGCAAGAATAGCCTTCTACCAGTTCCAAAATGGTCCCCTTGACTGTTGATGATCGTTTCCTGTCTGCATATCTTTTGTATGGCTCTGCGCTTATGCTCAAAACTTTTGCCATGTCATTTTTCACCGTAAGACAGCGCATGGCGAACAAGGTAAGACTTATGGGCTAATTCGTCGAACAGAAGCTGGTTAAAATGTAAATCTGAAGAATTGGGAATTTTGCATCTTTAATCTAATTCTTTGAAAGCATATTTCAGATATTTTGTTTAAAAGTGTGCTGTCATTAAGCGCGGGCTTATCCGACTGGATGATAAAAGTTGGAAGATTCTTTCAGTAGAACACTTGTAGGATTTCTTTCGGAGGCCATCGATATGCTGCGAAACGCGAGGAAGTAAATCGGGGTTAACTGAATAAATAACCACAGAGTAATAAATATACATGAAAATACTACTGAAAATACGTTTGATTTAACTGAATTTGTATAGGTAACAACATGATTTCGAGTGTATTTGGTGTTATTAAGCGCGGGTAAATTTTTCAAAGACGACAAAATTACACGAATCTGTAACTATGCAGCAGTCCCAGGCCTCATCCATAACCTTGCGTGACAATCACGCACGGTGAAAGACCCGTTTAAAGTTGCATAAGAGCAAAGGTCTCAAGCTTTCAAAATGGTGCCTCTTTCTGTGGACGATCGCTTCCTCTCAGCCTATCTTTTCTATGGCTCTTTGCTCATGCTCAAAACGTGGGTGATGTCGTTTTTAACCGCAAGATATCGAATACAGAATAAGGTTTGTAATCAACTCAAATGTATTCTGCTGAGTAGAGTGAAATGTATGACTCAAGCTAGCATGCATGATGACCATGAATCAGGTCTTATTCAGTGACTTTTTTCAAAAGATTTGTTCTCTAGTTATGACCACTCTTGATTTTTAAAAACGAGAGATGTAGGAACGACCGGATAACGTGCAGAACTCATGAGTGACATGTTCGTGTTCGAGCCCTGATCGGCGGGTCATGATTCCTCACCTTTTGAGCAAATTCGCTTTCGAGGCTCCAATCGATCGACCAATGGGCCCGTCGGTCTATTTTCAATTTTACTCTTTAAAGCCTTTTAATCAATGACCTTATTTAATTAAACAGCAAAAGGCTGGAGACTGCATTTAGAGCAAATTATTTTCCTGGCGAGTTTGCATAATTGAAAATTTGAAACGAACACAAGTGTGGATTTCGAGAAACTTGTTTACACGCGCGTGGTTTTAGTTTATCATTTATTTTGCCACTGATGGAAACTGTTGCAAAAATAGTTGCGAGTGGGTATAATTTCACGTGCGCCGACATAGCCAAAGCTTTACAGCTCGCTTTGAACAACGAGGACCTGAAAGAGGACTGACTAACAAGTGCCTCTGCAAAGATGACACAGCAGTTTGAGTGCCCTAAAAAAATTTTTCAACAATTTTTTTAATGTCCGCTACTTAAACACAGGCCGCAACTGTTCAATTGAATAAAAGGCTAACTACTTTTAATTATGATTTCGCAAAACACTGATGAAACGGTTTTAAAAGATTACGAGAATGAATACTTTGCCAAAATTCTCTTAAGCTGAGCTAGCAATATCATCGGCACTGAAACGTGGCGGTGCTGAGCCCCTCCTCGCCCCAATTTTCTCATGGACAGGCTCTAGCCCCCCCCTTCCCCACCCCTTTTTCCTTCGCTTCCTATGCTGTGATTCAACGTGAAGTAAAGAACTGTTTCTGTACTTCACAATTTAATTTAATCATCAGTTTCTTAGAGTGGCTTGCTTTTTGTGGGTCGTAGCCCTTTCCCTCCCTTAAGTGACCAAAATAGAATTTTTGCCTTACTATATCCATACATTATCAAGCAGACAAGTGATGAGAAAAAAGAAAAATAGAAATCAGGGAATTAAGATGATCAAATACCAAATTCTCCAAAGTAACACTATAACAATTGAATGATAGACAGTTAGGAGAATTACTAATGAGATTGTGGGAGTGAAAGGGATTTCTGGGTGGCAAGTTTTGAGGTATCTGTTCTTAACTTTTTCAAAATTTTGTCTCTGTCTTTCTATTGACCCTGATAGTTTGTGTGTGTTTCATGAAACTAAATTTTAAAAAAAGATCTTATGTTGACTTAAGTGTTCAAAGCAATGTTAGGTTCTACAATAAGAGTTTCTTGGGTGACATTTTGGGGTCTTAGTGTGTTTGTTAATATGACTTTCTTCACCTTTTGGTAATTCAAGAAACAAAATCTGCAGACAGTCCCAAGGACTGTATTTATAGCTGAATGATAAAAAACCATTACACTTCTATTTGTAGGCTCTTCCAAGCCCTGAGGACTATGGTAAAGACAACACTAAACCAGTGCCTGTAAATCCTGATGTGGAAAGAGTCCGCAGGTATATATCTCACCTCAGATATTATTTAATCAACCTCTAAACTCTCTTTCTCCCCTCCCCCCCCCCCTCAGATTTTACCTTGCTTTTTACCAGTCTTACAAGAGGTGTAGCTGCAATTGTTTTGAGGGGGGGGGCAGGGAGCCCAGCCCCTCTTCCCCTCCCATTTTTTTGGTGATAAGGAAGAAGATAAATGCACTGGTAGCAGTGTGAGTGGTTTGGAGTAATTTACAGAACAATACAATAGTGGCTTCAAGATTGCTTGAAAATGACTTGAAACTATTCCTTGAAAAGTGTTCTAAAGTGCACCTCATTTTTAAAATTTTCCAGGGGAGGATGCCTGCAGACTCCCATCTGGCCTTTTATGATACCCTACAATCACTGCTTCCTGGAATCCTTCCCACTTCAAAATCAATTCCTACACAGCTGCAGCTCCTGCTCTGGAAAAATAATTATGCTTTACAGATTAAATGAATCTTGGGAGTTGCAGAGTAAAATTTAATTTTTTTTACTGATTCGATTCCAGAGCCCATCTGAATGATCTGGAGAACATCCCAATCTTCATGATTGTTGCCCTGTTGTATGGATTGTCTGGTGAGCCTGTGGCAAGAGGCATTTGGTGTTTGCGCATCTTCACAGGAGCTAGGTTCCTGCACACCATAGCTTACTTGAACGGCATCAGTGTACCACGTGCCTTGGGTTTCTTAAGTGGCTCAGTTTGTACTGCAGTCCTGGGCTTCAGTGTGCTGTACTCTGCTGTCAAGACTGGCGTGTTTTAAACAGTTTTAAGGCTGATGTCCTCTGAGAAGTTCATTTTACCATGAAATAATGGTAACAATGCTTTTTTTTTATTTAGTTTCCTTTAGCTTTTAGTGTACTGTACTCCACTGTGAAGATAGAAATTTTTCTCTAGAGCCTTCTCCTTTGAGTAGTGTGTGAACATGGAGTGAAAACAAGAATTCTCTCTGAGCCAGTCTACCTCAGCTTTAGTAGTTTGAGCAAACAATAGCTATGTAGTATTCACAAAAAGTAACACATTAATAAAAAACTGATTGCATGATTCAGTTGTCTCTTTTGCTTATCTTAACCCTTCAGACCCTTAGTGACCTGCATCTAATTTCTCCTTAGAGTAACACTCTTGTTTCCTCAGTTAGGATCACAAGAATAAAGGAAATGATCATCAATCTGAGAAAGGTTGATTGTTGAATAAACTCTCCTTGTAAGAACCACAGGAAAAGTGCAGAGGAAAGTAAGGAGAATTTGCTTACTGATGTTAGGGTGTGACGGGCCTCAGATGTTACCAATTTTGTTGTTACTCTTCAATGCATGAGATTCATGCATCTTACTTCTCCATACATTATCACCTCTGAGTAACACATTAAAGGAGACGATTTCCAACTTAAGGAGCTCTTGATTGATAGACAATTCCTCCTGGAGAGTACCACAGGAAATGTATATGACAAGCATCTAATTTCTGCCTACAATATTACTCCTGAATCACATATTCAGGTCTTGAAATGGTCACTGGGGAAGGAACCTTTTGATCGGCAAATAAATTCTCCTTGTCAGCACCTTGGGAAACATGTAGAGAAAAGTATGGAGGATAGGCATACTGATGTTAGGGTGTAAAGTGTTAAGGAGTAATGTAGGGATCAGGAAGCGAAATCAAATAAAATAAGGATTGTCAAATTTCCTAGCCTGTTAGCTACTCCTCATAGTTTGCACTCAAGCACAAGTGTTTCCTTGCCCACAGGAAAGTACCAGGCTGTGAGCTAAGTGAGGTGGAGGAATTGCACTACTCAGGCAAACCTCTATGCATAACAAGTCTCAAATCCCCCTCCCTCCCCCCCAGAGAAATGCACAACTTAAAGTGCTTATATACGTGAGGGCCTACTCTCTGCCTGAACTTTGGAAAGCAAGACTGATGTGATACCTATAAAATTTGATTGGAAAAAAGGGTAGACTGATTCTTTCAAGTTGCTCATTTTCTGAACACAATCTGTTGATAAATTAACACTACCAGAAGGCACACAAAAATCCTACAAATTTACACAAACTGATTTTGTAAATGAATCTTTCGATCAAAGACTTTCAGGAATTCAGTTTTTGCAACCATAGGTGAAAGATATCTTCCCAGATTGGTAAAGTTTTACTTCCTTTCTATTGCATTCCATATACACCACTTGGGACATGTCCATCAAAACAAAACAATCAGGCAATATAGTTTTTAGCACAGTCAAATGTAATGCACTTTTATTTTTGTTGTTTGTACAAATTTCAGAGCTGGACTTTCTACTTGGCTTTCTTGGCCTTGATTTTACGCACATAAAACTCAAGTTCTTTGCCCTCAAGTATGTAACCATCACATCGTCCACTCTGGCCAGGTCGTGAAGACACACATGCTGTAGAAGAAAGAATTTAAAGTGTTTAAAAACAATGAAAAAAGAAGACCACGACAACAATGTACCCCTGCATTTACAAACCACTTTTGACTTCCATTGCCAAGGGAAAGGAATGTGTCACCATTTCTCGTCACAAGAGACAACGCAAACAACCTCATATCTTGTAAAATTTGCTTTTCTCTGACTTCTTTCATAGATGTAAATTTTCCCAGACCCAAAGTGAAATTCTCCAACTTTTTCCTGACTTGTAGCAACGGCAGTTATCATTACAGTCTGATGATGATTTCTGTCTAAGTTCCCAAACTGTCTGTCAGTGCTACCAACAACAGTCCTACTCATGCCTTGACAATCATACTCTGCAATAATTTTGTGAAATTTCTGAACATGACATTACTCAGATGGTTTGAGATTCTGACCCAGAAGACATTTACTTACCATACAATCGTCCAGTGGTAAACTGCTCCTCAAGCAGAGGTGCAATCTTGGCTGTTCCTTTGCGTACTTCCATCTTTTTTTGACAGTGACGTGATCGTTTTTTGTTTAACACATCACTTTCATCTGTTTCCACCTGAAATGAAATCCCACCCATTGAGTACTAGGGTCTAAATCAAGACTCTTCCTACACTCCAGACACTTTAGCTTCACCACGTCTTGGGAGATTTTTGTTGTACATCAAGAAGCACACAGTTAACATTGTGTTATGTAATCCTTAACATATAAATTTTCTGACCCACATGGGCACCTGGTTTTGTGATGTTTGGGTATTATTGTAAAGTTGATTGTAAGGAGAGTTTATTCACCTTTAATTTTGTTTGACATCTTTTGAGCAGAGCAAGATATGAAGAAAACTATGAATACCAATGAGACCTTTTGTCTAGGCAGATACAAAACTTAACTTGAAGTGCACCTTGTGTTAGCTAAGTGGTTGTTGGAGACTTAGAATATTTAAGGGATCGATGTTGGAATCCTCATTGTTGGAATCACCATTGTTGTTTGCCTGGGCAGGTACAAAACTTAACTTAATGTGCACCTTGCATTAGCTATGTGGTTGTTGGGGATTTAGAATATTTGAGGGATTAAGGTTGGAATCCTCATTGTCATTAAAGGCATATGTCAAGGTAAGTCCTACATCTTCTCAGGCAAAGGGTCCCTACAGGACAAAGGATGAATAGAAGGTGATACAAAGTACATACTGTTTTAGTGGTCTTCTTGCGACCAAGGGGCATGCCATAATGAGCCTCATACCTGAGAAACAGAAAATTGTGGCTCCCATTAAAAATATAATAACAATAATAATAATAATAATAATAATAATAATAAATATTCAACAGCTCCTTGGTGAGCTAAAATCAGTAAATGGTCTTTAGTTACAACTAGTGGAAACTCTGCTAGCATCATCATCTCTCCTGCTGAAACTTCACTCTGCTAACTTCTCTCAGGAAAAAAAACAAAATCATAATACAACATTCAGACTCACCACTGTCTGAAAGGAGTGGAATCCACTTGTACAATGCAGTTCTTCACAAGAGTCTTGGTTCGTACCAACTCGTTGTTACTAGCATTGTAAACAACATCGATGAGACGAGTCTTGCGAGTAACACCTAAAGAAGGTGATGGCAGAATTCTTTAATTCCATACATTTAAGATGCATGAAGAGATCATACAATAAGAGAAGATGACTTTCCTTGTGTCAGTCCTGCATTTTTGAGCAGTCAGGGTAACTATGACAAATGGTCATAAGAGTGACAAGATTACCAAGACGGTAAAAACACTCTTCCACTTCATAATCTTTCATCATACTGCCATTGTGTCAAGTTTTGGCCTTGGTTCCTGAAGGGCTGCATAATAGGCAATTTACAAGATGCCCAAGGTCTCTGATTTGTCAGTGGAAGTGCACTGAGGTGAATTTCCATGATGACTTAAGCCTCTGGTTTTAATTAAAGGTAAGTGCAAAACCTTTGATGTGAAAATGATTGTATTATTTTCATCTTGTGCAATTTTAATATAAATAATATATCACACACAGCGTAAAGAATTTAGGTTTTAATCTTTGGAGTTAAAGGATGATAGAGCATACTTTCTGATCCCCATGAGTAGTTTCCAGTGTCCAGTCTCAAAGCTCTGAATTTTTGGTTTCCACCGCGAGTTCTCACATTGTGGATTCGCTTGCTTCCAAGCTGCAAAAGACACAATATAAGTTAGTAACATTTTAATCCTCAGAAGTAATCAATAAAATCCATATATCTTCCAGCAAACAGGTAATGAGAATACTCAAACTTCTCAGGTTGAAGTTTCTTGATCTAACACCAAATTCTCCCAACTAATTTGTAAAGAAATGTGTAGCAACAAGAGAGAAGAGTTATCAATCAGATCTTAGTAGTTAAAGATTAACCCCTTATCTTGACTTCCCCCAAATTTGCAGCATTTACTGTAATGTGGGAGTTTCCTAAGAAATTCTGCTCTTTTCATATCAACGTTGGGGGCAGAGCAGAAGAGGCAATAATCAACTGAGTGGGAAAATAGTCAGCTGTCGTTATTAATGTACCAACCAAACTCAGTGAAGTATTTTGCATTTAAATAAAGGGGGTAAGTTTTTAAAGAAACTGTGGTGTAGCATCAGTGACAGGGCTCAAACTCAACTTCTGAACCTAATAGTCAACTGGCCAGTAAATGGTCAGGATTTACTAACAAGATTGCTAGTAAATGCGCAAAATCCACTAACCAAAATTCAAAGTCTACTGGTATCCAGCTAGTAGACCACTGCTGAGTCTGAGCCCTGAGTGGGAGTGTATAACAGGCTAATCTAGTATTATCAACTGAGTTAATGATGTAAATTGGCCACTATAAAGAGTTTTAACCCTTTAACTCCCGAGATCCGATTGTTAATTCTCCCATCTAGCTGCTACAAATTCCCTTGTACATTTCTTACAGAATTTGTTATAAATTCAAAATAACAACTTCTACCTAATAAGTTTGAGTATTCTCATAAACTGTGTGCTGGATAATGTATGAATATCAAAGAGAGAAGTTACATGTTAGTCAGTTCTGGGAATTTAAGGGTTAAAGCTGACATTTTGAACTTAGCCCAATGTCAGAGCCAATGGTAAAGGGCTGATGCTCCAAATGTCAGCTTTGAAACTCTTTACAATAGCCAATTTATGCTATAAACTCAGTTGATAACACTAAATTACCCTATTTTGCATTTACCTTGGTGTTGGCTGGTGGTCGGCCAAGTTCATACTTTCTCTTTTTACGGATTGCCTTTTTCTTACCACCAGTACTGCGCCTCTTATGCCAAGAATCACGGGAAATTCCTACGATTGAGAAAAATGACAACAGTTAATTTTAACTCCATGTAGTTTTTCAGTGTAACTTTTTCCATTTGCCATACCATTCACAAACTCTGGAATAAAATGTGACATTGGCTGAAACAGAGGTAGTTTGTGATAATAAGGAAATATATACATCTAGGAAAAAAAACACAGACAAGGCCTTTTAAATCCTTTCACTTCCAAGATCTCATATGTAACTCTCCTTACTGTCTGCCAAACAATTCTTATGATGTTAGTTCTGAGAATGTGGTGTTGAATCATCTAATAATCCCCTTTCTGATATTTTTCTTTACTTCTTCATCACTTGTTTGTTTGATATTGTTTTAATTTGGTGAGGAGAATTCTGTCTTGGTCACTCATAGAAGTTAAAGGGTTAACATAAACCATGTTTTACTGCTCAGCTTGGACTATACAGCACTCCATTTTAAAACTGTTTTAAAACTGTTACAAAAGAGTTTAACTTACGAAATAATTTTAAGATCAACGATAACTCCGTTCTCGCTTGCTTTACTTAAGTTCTCGTTTTGTAAAGAGAACGATTCCAATGTGGGAAAACACGTGAATTTCAAGACCTGGTCAAAACACCATTACAATATGACAAATCTTGGGCTACCAAGTTTGAATTTTCTTTATTTTCCCTTCTAGGTGAAAGATAACACCGTTTATAACTGATTATGTTATTACTTCTTTATAACATGTGTTACGCGGCTTAAAACTGGCCCTAGTTTCATGAATGACTCTGAATTTTCGCATTAAGATGTCGATCGCAGTGGATGCAGAGCAATTTGAAATTGGTATCACAACTTGGATAAAAACACAGCTTTCTACGATAAATATACCGAAAATCGCGCTCAAAGGTGTGCTCTACTATCATATCACAGCAATAAAACTTGATGTCTACAATAACGCCGAGATTGGACGGATTCAAAACAGGGATTCGTTCCTCACTCACCCATCTTGGACGGTAGGACAGAAGAGGAAGAACATTTGCAAAGCACCCTGGGAAGTACTGCAAAATTTTAGTTTTGGGAAGGAGTAGGAGGAATTAAAACTGTCATTAGATGTTCTATAATAAACGTTTCAGAAATTTAATCTATTAAAAATTTTTCCTATTTAATAAGGTTACGTACTATTTCTATGCATTCTGTCAAATAGGTAGCCCTCTTCGAGAAATTTCTTCAATTTCTTAATCGTAACGTGATATAAAGGCACCAGTAGGGGAGGGAGGGTGGTAAAATGTTCACCATAAAGGCCCAGTACCTCACGTTTCCAGAACGGCGCCATATTTGCCGCGAACCCTGACTGACTTAACTGGAAACAAATCAAGTTTGCCACTGCAACCCTCTCCTTTCCACAATTGATCTAACAAATGGTGAATTAATTTTCAAAATTAGCTCTTTTTGAGTTTGAAAATGGAAGAGCTGAAGAGGAAAACCGATATCATGTTGCGTTCTGTCCTCGTTAGTGTGGGTCGCACTGGACTTGCACTCCGATGGTTAGACAAGGAATACAAAAGCATTACTTACTCCGCAATTCCCTACCAAGAAATGGGCTTCTCAAGCCTCGAAAAGTACATTAAGAGCATTCCAGAAGTTGCTACCCTTTCAAGGGATGCCGATGGAGAATATGTGGTGCACGGAGTTCCAAGCGAGGCGGATAAACACGTAGCGAAACTCATTGCAAAGCAAAAGAAGCCAAAAAGGAAAGCGAAAGCAAAGGCCAGACGGCCGGTACATGCGTCGATGCACAAATCAGGTGTGGGGAGATCAGTGGCTCTACACAGGGCCCCGGTAAGGAAGTCCCCGCAAGCAGCATCCTCTCGAGTAAGTGTTGCACCCTCCCGAGTAGGAGTAGCTCCCTCTCGATTTGGTACAACACCTCGGTTTGTTCCGCCTCGGATGATGAGGGCTCCGGGCACGAACACATCTGTAGACAGGAATGGGGTAGAGCAACAAATTGCCCAACAAATTCAGCAGCAGGCTAAAAATATGGTGGCTGCTTCACTAAATAGCTCCAGAACAGTTCAGTTAAATAAATCACAGCCAGGTTTATTTGCGAGTTTACCTCAGCAGACTGCAGTCTGTGGAAATAAGATCAATGGAATGGCGTCAAATAATAGACAAGTTACTGTGGTCTCTCGCCAAGGTATAAGTGTTTGTAACTGGTAATAGATTTCTGTATAACCCCATCCTCTTCCAAACCAAAGTAGTCGTCCCAAAGGAAATCAATTGTTTTCCTCATTGATTTTTTTTTTATCCAAGAATGGCATGCATGATAAACTATGGGGTTGTGCAGAAATCTTGCCACAGCTACTTTGATGGGAGTTCTATGCAGGAAGAAATCAAGGAAGATCTTTTTTTATAATTAATTAAGAAAATAGCCAATTTGAAATGGCAAGAATCATTATCTCCAAACACTATTTCTTATTGACTGAGCAGGAGGGCGGGCAGCGAAATATTTGGCTTAAGGTCATAACCTATGGACCCAAGACTGTAAGCATGACAAAGAGCTAAATATATTCCTAGGTAATTTAGTATTATTATCTGAGTTGGTAAAGTAAATTGGCCACCTTAAAGAGTTACAAAACTGACATTTTGAGCATTAGCCCTTAGTCAAAGTGAAAGGCGAAAGGTGTTATTTGCTTTGACAAAGGGTTAACGCTAAAAAATTTCAGCTTTTAAACTCTTTATGGTGGCCAATTTACTGTATTAACTCAGTTGATAAAATTAAATTACCCTGTTATACTCTCCCACTGATACAGTACCACAGTTTCTCTAGAAAATTACCCCCTTTATTCAAGTATATTCCTGCCTGATGTGACTAAATTCAGTCAATAAGTATCTTATCATATGAGGGCTAAGTTTAAAAAAAATTTGAACCTGTTTAAGACACAAGCAGAGACACAAGAAGGGTGTATGCAGGGCATCTATAAAAGAGATTCTAAATGAAGAAGAATTTTTCCTCTCTTTCTTTGAGTCAGAACAAGAAAATCACAATCCCAAAAAGAAACTTATTTCCTCATTTTTGTTCACTTTCAAGTTTAAGTCCATAGTGAGAATTCTTGTTTTTGGACAGGCTCACATCAGCCTGTGTGGTCCTACACTGGTCAGCTATGTGATGCTTTTTCATAGGATTTCATAGTTTATTGCAAATTTCCCCCATACCATGTATGCAAATTTGCCCCCTTTAGTAAAACATGTTTGCCCCCACCTATACCTTTACCAGTTTGCCCCTAAATATTTCAATGGCAGAACCACAATGTGTATTAAAAAGAAGGATTAAGTTCGAATTTTGTATGTGAAGGTTTTGTATTGGTTCTATCTACATTTTGTAAGGAAATAACAGTTTTAATGAACATATAGCTTCACCTTTACTATGCTATATTTTAGAGGAGCCCCCTCACAGGAAAAACTGGAAAAAGAAAGCAAAAAGTCAAGGTTTGTTGAGTTAATTGTTTTATTCCTAAGATTTAAACCTCAATTCTCAAAAATATTTGCCATATATGTCTTATAGTTTTAGATCCACAAAGTTGGTTTTTAACCCTTTAACTCCCAAGATCTAATTGTTAATTCTCCCCTCTAGCTTCTACACATTTCCTTGTAAATTTGTGAGGGGAAGTTGGTGTTAGACCAAGATAACGACTTCTACCAGATAAAACTGAGTATTCTCATCACCCTTTGGTGAATAATATATGGATATTATAGGGAGAAGTTACATGTTAATCACCTCAGGGAGTTAACCCTTACACTCCCACAAGTGACCAAGACAGAATTTCTCCTTACAATATCAATACAATATCAAGCAGGCAAGTGATGAGAATAGAGAAGAATATCAATTATGGGATTATTAGTTGATCCAATACCAAATTCTCTGAACTAATATCATAAGAATTGTATGGCAGATAGTAAGGAGAATTACCAATTAGATCTTGGGAGTGAAAGGGTTAATTGTAAAGTGCCTTATAGGTGATACATTCCTTTCTTTCATTACCTTCTGCTTCAGAAATTTGTTTTGGGTCAAGAGTGGGAGTAAAAACTGAAGCATTTTTCTCTTCATACAGTTTTCTTAAAAATCAATGCCTGTTGATGAGATTGATATATTAAAGACATATTTAGGAAAAAACCAGCAGCTTTCTGAATGTGTGATGACCAATTTTTTTTTTTTTTTATATAATCAAAGTGTGAAATATTTCTGTGACAAACATGGATTATTTCTGAGTTAGGACTTGCCTTTTTACACTGCAGGAAGTGGACCAAATTGGGGAGGAATGGAAGTGACTTTTGAGAGTGGCCATGATAATCAAAATGAATCTTTTAAGCGTACAGTCAAAGTGTCAAACTCTTCCAGTGCTCAAGTTGACTCTTTAAGTAAAGAAGGTAATATTAAAATCTCACTATCATCAATTATATATAGCAATATTGATATAGGCTCAGATTTTATGTCACTGTTAGATAAATTTGAACGTATATAAGATACTTAAGCATATCTCAATTATTCTCTCCTGTCAGAATTGGAAATTTATTCCAGAATTAAGAAGGTTAGTGCCATTTTGAATTTGCTTCATACTAATCCTGAATGAAAATGCCTCACAAGGGGTTTTCCCTGTTCTGTACAAGGAATTGAGCAAGGTTTCTATCATTTGTTTATCTTCTCTTGTTTCCAGAAACTCCCTTGATCCAAAACTATTAAAGGATGTCTGTCTCAAATCTTTAAAATTAACTTCCCACTTTCACTGAAAAACTTAATAGCTCTCCTGATTTTGTTATGACATTGTTAAGAAATTCCTTGTACCTCATGAGTAAATGGCCATGTTCCTTTGGCTTCTGTTAAAGCCCTCATAGGCTTAACATTTGAACTGCTAGAAGTGATTA